GAAAATACCGAGTGGGAATTTTCGCCTCGTTTCGAGAAAAAGCGGCCGAAAGCGTGGGAGAAGTGGACTTGTGGGTGGGTGTGCGCGCGCGCCCGCGTGCACACGGTGTCCACAACATGCCATTTTAGGCTAAAATGGGGTTCCATGGTTTGTAGTTTCAGATACTCCGTGCAAACGGGGATGTTGCATTGCGACTGCATGGGGCACCCTGAGGCATACATGTTGGGTGAAGGCAGATACGCACATAGACAACGCATTCCTAATAAACCCACTTCTCCCCCGCCCCCAGCCACACTTTTAAAATTTAACTTAACACCAAGATTTCTTGACATCATTTTTGCAAGACCGAAGGTTTATCCTTTAAGGGGTAACGGACTTACCTCATTCCATGACTTTGCACTGGGGCTGCAATCTCAGAGGACGTGCAGGGGCTGGGTTCATGCAACAACCAGAGCCACCTACCCAGCTCACCAAGGTTGAGGCTCACCAAGATGAGAGTGTTGTGTGAATGCTGCTGTTAGATCTGGGAAAGTGTGTTGTGTGAATCCAGCCAGAGAGTGTGCTTTACCGCTCTCAAACACAGGTGCCCCGGGCCTCTTTTCTAAGGATAGGCCCCTTGGTGATGGAGTCAGGAGGAAATATTCTAGACACCACTTAGTTGAGATCCTAAAACGGGTGGTGTGGGGGGGTTTCTTCCCCCACCTGGACATGGAATTCTTTTTAAAGGCGAGCTTCTTCTTAACTGGCCTTCTCCAGTGTGGTTCACTCCAAGGGGACTACAATACCCATCATCCCAGCCACAAATAAAAGGCTATCGGTTTGGAAAGGATAATCTAGCGGCTACATACACAGTGGGGTTGGCTAGTCCCTTAGTGGCCTGGAATTGCTGCCTTGAACCATCGGCCTCCTGGATTTTTTCCCTTTTATTTTTGTCAATGTGAATTGTTATAGGTTTTATTTGTATACTTATTTATTGTTTTAACGTGTTGTGAGCTGCCCAGAGTCCCCCATTGGGGGGGAGATGGGCGGGGGACAAATTTAATAAATAAATAAATAATGCTGGCGAGCCCTTGTTGGAAAAATCTGTAGACTGTTTCAGCTGAAGTCTTAGGTCTGTTAATAGAGAAGTCCTAGATTCCCCCCCCCCCCCCCCCCCCCCAATTTACGAAGGAACAAACCCCTCTCTCTCAGCCCTAGGAAGGAGGCCAGGGCAAACCCCTTCTGAAAAACCCTGCTAAGAAAACTGCAGGGACTTGTCCAGGCAGTCTCCAAGAATCGGACACAACTGAACGGATAAAAAAAAATAATAGTGAAACTATTGCTTTGTGTGTGTGTGTGTGAGGGCTGTGTGTTCATTTTGAAAATGATTCAGAAGAACCCTTGCCAGCACAGCATTTTAGAATAGCTTGATTTCTTTCAAAGGCTCTTTTAAAGAATCTACTCATTACATTTAAGACATTTCTTAAAGCAGGGCCACGTTTTCCAGGTCCATGCAACCAGAGGCCTGAAAAGAGAGGGGTTGGGTCTGTGTCCAGAGCACTCCTTCCTCACCATGTGTGTCAAGGATGCAGAATCCTAATATCAGATGGAAGTGGTGGCTTAAAGTCATTGAAGTAAGTCTCACTAAACTTGGTAGCATAGAATCAGAGTAGGTAAGTTGGAAGGGAACTTAAGTGTCATCTAGTCTGACCCTCTGACGAGTGCGGGAGGAAGTTAAGGCTGCATTGTGAGGCTCTGTTGTTACAACCTTCTTAACCTACTGAATTAGCCTGTTTTCTGGATCTATGCTATATATTAAACCAGTGTTTCTCAACCTTGGCAACTTTAACAGGTATGGACTTCCACTCCCAGAATTCCCCAGCCAGGAATTCTGGGAGTGGAAGTCCACACACCTTAAAGTTGCCAAGGTTGAAAAACACTGTATTAAACTCTGAACTATCCAAATGGACTGGATTCACATAACATGCAAACCTCCCCAAAACTTAATTCAAGATAACCAGGCTGAGCATGTTGTGCAAATGTAGCCATTACATTTTTTGACTTGACGAAGCACACAAGAGAGCTTCTTTTCCAAGGATCAAGCTTCAAACAACATTGCAGTGCCCTCTCATTTTTCTTTAAAGGAAATATGCAGGGCTGCATTTTAGATTGTGGGACCATCTAGGGCGGTGTTTCTCAATCTCGGCCACCCTTTATAGAGACGACCTCTCTATACCACAAATCTCCCCTCCCAGTACCCTGTGGGGGGGGGGTGGGGGGGGGTGGGGGG